CCTTCCTTCCTTCCTTCCTTCCTTCCTTCCTTCCTTCCTTCCTTCCTTCCTTCCTTCCTTCCTTTCTTCCTTCCTTCCTTCCTCCTCTCCCTTCCTTCCTTCCCTCCCTCCCTGCCTCCCTCCCTCCCTTCCTTCCTTCCTTCCCTCCCTTCCTCCTCTCCCTCCCTCCCTTTCTTCCTTCCCCTCCTTTCTTTCCTTTCTTCATTCCTTCCTTCCTTCCCTCCTTCTCTCCTTCCCTCCCTTTCTTTTTTTTTCTTTCTTCTTAATCCCTAACTCCCCTTGCCTTCCCTTCTCCCTTTCACCATTGGAAATAAGAAGAACAAAGCCCTTGTAACATATGTTTAGTCAAGTAAGACAAATCCCCACATTGACTGCGTCTGAAAATTATTACTTATTCTGATTCTTGAGTTCATTACTTCTCTTTTGGGAGGTGGACAGCATGCTTCACCATTGGTCCCTGGAATCATCCCACCATCTCCTTCCATTGCCTTGGGAACAAGTAAATTGACCATAGGAAGGAATGGTCGGAGAGGGTGAATATTACCCATAGCTTATTCCCCAGCCCCATTCAATTGTAAGCTTCTTGAAATCACGTCTTATTTCATCTCCATGTACCTCGTATTTATTGTTGTTGTTCATTTGTGTCCGATTCTGTGCCTCATGGACCATAGTACACCAGGTCCTTCTGTCCTCCACTGTCTCCCCAAATCTCTCTAAGCTCATGATGATCGTTTCCATGACACCATCTGTCCAACTCATCCTCTGCTGTTCCCTTCTCCTCTTGCCTTCCATCTTTCCCAATATCAGGGTGTTTCCCAATAAGTCTCATCTTCTCATTATGTGGCCAAAGCATTTAAGCTTCACCTTTGGTATTTGTCCTTCCAATGAATGGTCTGAATTAATCTTTGTCTCCTGTGTATGTGGCCCTTAATACTTGCGTAACCGAGTTGAGTACTGTCTACCTGCCTTGATTCCCCCCATATTGCTAGGATCTTAAACCCTGTTTCTGAGGAGCCTGTGGCCTGTCAGGTGGGGAATGAGCCCAGAGAACCTCCTAACAGAGGCCTTTGGGAGACCTCAAAGGAAGCTAGGAGAGGCATGGAAGCCGGCCAGGCCCTCTGGAGCTCGCTGGCCAAAGAGAGCTGAGCAGCGACGAAAACAGAGAAGGGATTGTCTCCAGGCTTTGCTGGAGGCTTTTGGCCAGGCACTCTAGCTTTCTCTTCTGATGTGTGAGATGGAGACTGGCCTCTGGAACATGGGGTAACCAACCTGGCAGTCCTGTGTGGGCTCTTTCTATCTTCTCTCCTGGTCATAACCTGGCCCATCCGACGGGCAGCAAGGAGAGGTGCCGGCCCTGTGCCGAAATGAGAGCATTTTCACTGTGTAGCTGAATGCGTTAAATGGTTCGTTGTATTCTTAAGAAATAAACAAACAAGCAAAGAAAAAACTCATACCAACCAAGAAACACACTTTCAGGCCTTTAATTTAAAAATCTTATTTTTTCTTTCAGACATTAGTAAATTTATTAGGAGCCAGAGACACAAATGTTCTGTTGGGGGCCCTTCTCGCACTTACTAGTTTAGCTGAAAGGTAAGTTTCTTTTAATATGCTTTTAACTCTCAATCTCAGCTGTGATACAAGCTCCTCCTCCTTTCTCCTCCTCCTTCACCCCCTTCTCTAATGTGGGCACAGTTTCCCTGGTTCCATTGCATCTTAGTCTAATTTTGCAAAAAGCCCCAGTGGTGCAGTCACGATAGGCGATGTTCCTTTACGGAGGATCCTGGACCAACGTGCTATATTTTACTTGAGCTAGAGGGACTCGCTGCCCCAGAAGATTCTTCTCTCTGACTGGAATTGTCTACAACATCTCCTTCTTTCCCTCATTTCTGGTGTTTTTGAAGTTGGCTTTAACTCTTTTCTTTAAAAACCGCTTTCCTGCCCTTTCTTTAAATGCATGTCTGTTTTTAACATTTTTCAAAAAGACTTCTTCTTCTTCTTCTTCTTCTTCTTTTTTTTTTTTTGGCTATGCAATGGGGTTAAGTGCCTTGCCCGGGGTCACACATCTAGTGTCAAGCGTCTGAGGCCGGATTTGAACTCAGGTCCTCCAGACTCCAAGGCCAGAGCTCTATCCGCTGCACCACCTAGCTGCCCCCCAAAAGACTTTCAAAAAGGCCATTCTCAGGCCCCAGCTCGTCCTGCTTTGTTCCTTACTCCTTTATTTTGTATTGAGCTTGTTCTTTTCTCTTCTGACATTAAGAAGGGCGGTGTAGAATGTTGCATATCGTGGTAGATGTTTTTGATGTATTGGTTGGTTTTACTGATTTTTTTTCTCTTTTTCTTTGTCTTTTAAAAACTATTTGTTTAAAGGGATGGTTCTCTGGGAGAGGGGATGGGGAGGGATAGAGGGGGAAATTTAGATAATGTAAAAACAAAAGATATCAATACAAATCTGTTTAAAATAAAAAGAGTGCATGGGAAACTCCAGCCCATTTTCTATACCATTAAGTTTTGTAACTTGTTAAATCTGCGTGGATCCTAGTGAAGGATGAGCCTCCTTTTCTGTGGGAGAGGGAGAGGGAGAGGCAGGCTCAGTCACCACGCTGCTAATAATGGAGCTGATGTTTTGTGATGTGCTGTTCTGTGCGGAGCTTGTGCGACAGTCTTCACCCTGAGAAAATGCGAGGGCCACGCCAGGGAGGGCAGTGGAGAAGGTGATGAGGGTTCTAAGACTGTTCCCTTTGCAGTCCAGAATGTAGGGAGAAGATCAGTGAGCTCAGCATTGTGGAAAACCTGCTGATGATCCTACATGAGTATGACCTGCTCTGTAAGAGGTAGGATTTTGGGCGGAAGAAAGAGATCATCTTATGTTTACGAGAGAAGCTTGCTTTATTTTCCTCTTACAGCGTGTTGTTTATGTAATATTGTGAAACTCAAGTGATAAGAAAACTCCATATTTCATGTTTGTGCAAGGAAATTTGTACAGAGAAATGTGATTTAATTCAAGCTTAAGCGGCCTCCTGTGAACTTACATGTGCCCAGTTCTGTGTTCAAATAAATGTAACCGTCCATCAGAACAAGAATTCATAATGATCATCCTGAATCATAAAATCATGGCACTGAGAACCAGGAGGAACCTTAGGGACCATTTGGCCCAGTCCCTCATTTGTACAGATGAAGAAACCCAGAGGTAAAAGGACTATGTAGGTAGTGGTGCTCAATCTGCATTCTGCCACTGCTGACCTCTAACCTAGTGCTCTTTTCATCACAATGAGTCACCAAGAAAAGATTAAGTTATGTGGCGTACTTTCTGTTTAAGAAATCAGAAAGCTGTTTAAGCCAAATGAGAAATATTTCCATCTAAAGATTTGTTTTTAAGAGGTTTCAGTAGATAAGGAGATTCAGTGGTCTGGAAAATTTACTTCTGTGGATCACCTCATTCTCTGGCAGTGCTACATAAAAGAGGCATTGATATAGATGGTTGGATTCTCCTGGGAACCAAACCAGATGAGCTATTCCTATTGATTTTCGTCTTTCTTCTCCCTGGTCCATCTGCTTTGGAATATAAATATGTATGGAGAAAGTCTCCTTGCTGTGTGTTCAGAAGTAAGTCTTCAGTATTAAGAATGAAGCTCTTTTGGTTCAAAGCTGTTTGGGGCTTTTCTCTTGTGAGCGTCCATGCCTTCCACTGTCTTCTCTGGTGCAAGGGGCACCATCCCAGCTGCTCGTCTGGAATCTGACACCTGGAATTTTTCATTATGTATATTTCTAGTGCCATATTCAAGGAAGTTTTCTTTAAGGTGTTTCCAAAGAATGTCCCTAGGACAATAGAAAGATTTAAGGAAATAACAATGATAACAATGATAACAATAATAATGATGCTAACTGGCATTCATATGAATGTTTTAACGTTAGCAAATCATCCAAATATTATCTCATTTGATCCTTACAACAATCCAGGTATGTGGGTGTGATTATTATCTCCATTTTACAGATGAAGAAACTGAGGCAGAAAGAGGCTAAGTGACCTTCCCATGGTCACACAGTTAGAAAGTGTTTGTTAGAGAAGGCTCAGAGTGTAGCCTTGACAAGAAAGAGCAGTGAACTTGGGAGCCAGGAAAAACTGGGTTTGAATCCTGTTTCAGATACTTTATAGCCATGTGACCACTGACATATTCTCTCTCAGCCTCAGTTTACTCCTTTGTAAAATATGATAATAATAGTTTCTACCTGTCTGGGTTGTTGTAAGGATTAAACAAAGCACTATAGAAATATTATCCTATTACTACTACTATTATTTTTCTTCTTCTTCTTCTTCTTCTTCCTCTTCTTCTTCTTTCCCTTCTCCTCCTCCTCCTTCCCTTTCTCCTTCTCCCTCTCTTGCCTTCCATTACTGGAATGTGAGGGAGTGCCTTGCTTGCTTGAATCAGTAGTCCTCGCACTTAACATAGTGCCTGGCATTAATATCCATCCACCCATCTATCCATTCTGTTCCTCTCTACCTATCCAATCCCAGATATTCTTCTAGATTCTAATCGCATATGATCCAATGAGGTAATGTAAGCAGAAGCCCTGGGTGATGAAGTGAAAAACAAAACAAAACAAAACAAAGACAGACCACTAGATGTTGAGTCAAAAGACCTGGGTTTGAATTCCAGCTTTGCTATTTACTGGCTTTGTGACCTTGAGCAAGTCAGTTACTTTCTGACCTCCACGGTTTCTTCATCTGTGAAATGGTTATAGTATGTGACTATTCTCCCAGAGTTGATGTGAAGAAAGAATTTTGTCAGTTGCTGAGTGTTACATGTTTGTGAACTTTTAAGTGCTTTGGAGCTAAAATTGGTCTCATTATTCCTATAGAAGGCACAGGCCAGATCCCCTCTGCTCCCTCTGGAAGCATGCTGCATGTCACCAGTCCATCCTGATCCATCTAATTTTAATTCCACTTGCCCCTTAATTCAATATTGCCTTGAATTGTTTGCTTTTCCATATGCATGTGTATCTTGTCTCCCTCACTAGATTCTAAGCTCTTTGCGGCAGGCAGTCATGGCTTATGTTCTTGTGACCCCACATAATTCTTAGCACACGGTAGGTGCTTATATATATATGTATATGTGTGTATATGTGTGTATATATATATATATACATATACATATGAATACATATTTTGAGGATAAACCAATAAAGAAATCTGCTGCCGAGACGATGTAATTTCTTGATGATGTGTCCTAGTAGAAAATGCCACATTGATTGTGTAATTTTGTGGCAAAATCATAGCCACAACCCAATAATGGTTTCATGAGGAACTGGTGAACTTCCATTTTTAAAAGACGGACTACGAAAGCATTGCTTCTCATTGCACATGCTGCGTCCCCTTTCAGGCTAACTGCTGAGTTGCTGCGGCTCCTTTGTGCCGAGTCCCAAGTGAAGGAGCAGGTGAAGGTGTACGAAGGCATCCCCGTCCTCCTCAGTCTGCTCCATTCTGATCACCTGAAGCTTCTCTGGAGCGTCGTCTGGATTCTGGTCCAGGTGTGTGAGGACCCCGAGACCAGCGTGGAGATCCGCACGTGGGGAGGCATCAAGCAGATCCTGCACATTTTACAGGGGTAGGTCCAGGCGCCTTGTGCTGTTTCATTAATTAGCTCATCGTCTAGAACTCCTTTGATCTCTTGCCTATTGTAGGATCTTTTTCACGCCATCCCTAGAGTTAAACTTGCAGGCATTCCAAGGCATGGGGGGGGGTGTGTGAGTAAGATATGACCTGCTGCCCGTTGGGGCTTGTGTAGAAGGGGCACAGAAGACAGCCTGGAAGATGGGGGAGGGGTAGTGGATGCCCAGCCCAAGCTTCCCACTGCTCTCCATGGACCATTAAGAGACCTGGAGGAAAACCTTGCTCACCTTAGTAGGGGATGTCTGGGAGGGCCCAGGCTGGCAAGGCGTGGACCAGTTATCTGCCCAGGTGGAAGGGGTACCCACACTGATCAAGTCACAGATTCTTTGGAGTGTCAAGGTGTACTGTGTTTTACTAATATTCATGAGGTCAGATACAGGTTAGCACATTGGCTCCAAGGCATCAGTGTGTGCACTATTAGAACGTAAAACGCCCATGCCTTCTTCTCCTGAGCATTTCTTTTCTTTGTGCTTCCCACCCCACTCCCTTTGTCCTTCCATATCAAACCCCTAGGATGGATGTGTTCTTCTAGCTCTGTGATCTCTTTGGGTTTACCAGTGAGCTACTCAGGCTGCCTGTCATTATTTTACCCTCTGGACTGGATGGCCCCACTTCTTTCTTGATTTGTTATTTCCTGGATAAGAGTCCTTAGAGCACATCTCATGCCCAAGTAATTTCATATAGAAATAGGCTACGGCTTCCTCTGGTTCCCATGCTTCTCTCCATTGCCCTTTGGGCTGCCTTCTTCAGAGACCAGGGTGTGTTATGGTTTGCCATCATGGAGCGTGGGATAAGTCTTCCAGTGATTTACAAGAATAGATTGGGAAAATTCAAGGATGGCTTATTAAAAAAGATGCTTGGTGAAAAGAAATCAGTAATTACCAAGAGCAAGGAAGGTTTCCTCAAGAGTAGGCTGTCCTCAAGACAGTGGCCTTGTCTCTTTTGACAGGGTTACTCTACTGGGTCATAAAGAGAATATTGCAGAAAATAATTTACCAAGATTTTGGCAAAGCTTGAGAAAGCCTCTTATACCATCCTTGTGGAGAAGATGGAGATATGGGCAAGATGATGGTACCAGTAGATGGATTTAGAAATGAATGAGTACCAGACTCGAAGAGTAGTCACGGATGGTTCAGTGGCTGCTGGCAGGAGGTATCCGGTGGGGTGGGAGCTTGGCCTGGGCTCCTTAAAATTCTATCAGTGATTTGGGTAAAGGTCTGAATGACACGCTTATCAGATGTTTGCATGCATGTGTGTAGGTATGAATTTATTTATACAACAAGCACTTACTGTCACTCCCTCCCATTCCCACCCTCCCGTTGAATAATTAAGAAAACCCTAAAAACAAATGTGCATAATTCAGAAAAATAAGTTCCCACATTAGCCATGTCCAAAAATGTCTTTCTTATTGTGCATTTCAAGTTCGTCTCTTCTCCAACAGGCCGGTGGCGTGTTTCCTTTTCCATCCTCTGGGTTCCTGGTTTATCATAGCTTTGATTGGACTTCTAAAGTCTTTCAGAGTCTGATTGTTAGACCTGCGGTTGACAGAAACCTGGGAGGCATCTAGCTGACTCACTGGATGGTGGCCAGGATTAAAAAAAGTGTCTTGACAGATTAAAATACTTGGCTGATTTAATAGTGTGAAGTTTAGTAGTGTATTTGGATTCAAGAAATCAGCACTCCTAGTAGAAGGCAGGAAAGGCAGACTTAAACAGCAGTATGCTGCAAAAAGACTTGGGGATTTTACCACATTGCAAGGTCAATGTAAGGCAGGAGTTTGACTTGGCAACCAGAAAGCCAGGTGGCGCAGCGGATAGAGCACTGGGCTTGGAGTCAGAAAGACTCATTTTCCTGAGTTCAAATCTGGCCTTAGACACTAACTAGCTGTTTGCTTCAGTTTCCTCTTCTGTAAAATGAGCTATAGAAGGAAATGGCAAACCACTCAAGAGTCTTTGCCAAGAAAGCCCCAAGTGGGGTCACAGAGAGTCGGAGGTGACTGAAAAACAACCCAATGACAACAGCAAAATGAATACACTAAGAGAAGCAGAGCTTCTAATAACAAGGGGGTATCATCCCCCTGTAGTTTGCCTTGGTCAGACGTCTGAAGCGTCGTGATTGGCTTTGGAAGGACATAGATAAGCTACAGAGTCTTCAGAGGACAACAGCTGAGGGGGTGAAGGACGTTGAGCTCTTTTGTGAGGGCTGATTGAAGGAAATGGGAGTATTTGGTCGTGAGAAGACTTGGGGTGGTGGTAGGGAGGAACATGACAGCTCTATTCAAGTATCTGCAGGGCTTTGTTATGCATGAGGCCTTGGTCTTACTCTTTTGGCCCCGGAGTTCAGAACCAGGTTGAATGATTGGCAAAGAGTCGTAGAGAGTCAAATATAGGCTCCACGTCAGGAAGATCAGCTTCGTAGTAAATAGTGCTGTCCCCAGATGGAAAGGTCTGGTCACTTTGGACATCTTTGTGCAGAGGTTGGAAGACCATGGTGCGATCGGGAGCCTTTTATCAGCTGTGTGTTGTACTGGCTGGCAACTGGGGGCCCTCGCAACTCTCCACTTCTGTGATTCGGTGGTTTCCCTTGCAGTCATTTTGACACTGTTTTTAGAATGTCAGAGCCATCTCTTAACTGATATCTTCTATTAGAACTGAGATGGGAAATCTTTATAATCCCAATTTTAAGAGAAAGAAATAATAACTTCTTTAGAGGGCACAGGCCATACATAAGGCATGTAGTTCTTCTTTACCTGCTCTGGTGAAAGTTATTTGATCCATGAGACATCTAACTTTCATTGTGAAGAATAGCATTTTCATGGCATATCACTGTATTAAAAATAACACTATTCCTATAATCTCGTAAGTTTTTTTTAATTTGAGGAATCATCTAAATTTATCTCTTTTTTCTAGAATAGGTTTATGAGTATCTAGTTTGTCAACACTGAATAAACTATTAATAGTTATTACCTAATGCATCCCAGTCCATGAGATCATTTTATTGATCATATATTGGTGAAGTTCAAAGACCCTGAGACGCATTACCAACCATAGATACATTACCTGCAAATGGAAGATCTTTAGTCATTTTCCCATCATAATTTATATTTTATAAAATTATGAATGCCTGTATTAAGCATTTTAAAGCCTGTAAATCTATTAAAGGAATTCAGTGACCCTGTAAACTATGATAATGGGAAAAAACAATTTGTTCTGAGAGTCAAATTGGAATTGTCATGAAGTACATTACAATAGGGCTCCTATAATTTGCATATTAGATAGACCAGAGTTTTCAATAATATAGTTCTGCAAGCATTTAATAAAAACATTTCCACCGTCACCTTCAGGAAAGTGGTATTAACTATTATTATCATAAAGCGTATTGTGTGGCCATGGGGTAATAATTCATAGTTAACTAACAGTATTTCTTCTTGAAAGCCTTTCTGGTTATGATCCACAGCCCATAAAACTCACGCTCATTTAGCTTGGGTAACTCATCAATACCGAGATGACTGGATGTTGTTAAATCAATACTATTCAGACTGTATTCTCCCTGGGTATATTAAGAATTCAGATTGTATAAAATAGTTTATTTTCTCTGAAGTAGTATCCTAAAATATACAGACAGAATTTAGATTTACTGCGAATAATGATTTGGCTAATCATGTTTCTGATCTCATGAAAAAGGAATGCAAACTTACAGCTCTTTGCAGGTTCTTATTTGTTAAAATTATTGTACTATATTTCATTCAGTGGTATAACATTAACTGGTACCAGTTTAAATTTTGCTGTTTTTAGTGATTTTACGTTAAATGTGCCCTCTTTATCACTGTATTTTCTGAATTAATTTCTTATATCCAGCTTGATTTTTTTAATGTTCCTTTTTAAAATTTCCTTTTCATTGTGTAGAAGGTGGGCTGCCTTCTGGGGTAGCCTCTGATTCTGTTAATAAAATATTGATTCAAATGCTTTAAAGACTCATCTTTATTCTCTTTTTGTGTATTGTGTTGAGTTTAATTCAAAATAGGGCTTTTCCTCCACTCCCTTCTTCTAAATGTATTCTTAGTGGTAAAGACTTCCTCTGTTTTTAAGGTATATTTCATATGGGGGACCTGATACTATGGACCCAAAATCTGTAAATTATTCATTTAATAAAGGGAAAGATGATGAGTTCTGTTATGGACTTTTTCCATTTGAGATGTCCCCAGGACATCCAATTTGAAAAAGTCCAAATAGGCATTTGGTGATGTGAGATTAAAACTCAGGGGAGACATTGGGGCTATCTGTAGTTGTATCTATACATATAGATAGCTATATCTTTGAGTCATTGGATAACGATGATAAATCCATGGAAGCTGATGAGCATGTAGATAGAGAAGAGTAGGGGGGCCTAGGAGGAAGAGCCTTAGGGAATACCCACAGTTGGAGGGGCATGGCATGGATGAAAATCCAGTCGAGGAGCCTGAGAAGAAGCAGTCAGACAAGTAGAAGGAGATCCGGGAGAGGGCAGTGTCATGAAAACCCAGAGACAAGAGATTCTTCAGGAGCAGAAGGTGGTCAACAATCTCAAAAGTAATAGAAAGTTTGACAAGGAAAAGTGAAAAATGAACAGCAGCTTCTGCAGTTAAGAGAATATTAGTAACTTTATACTAAGTGGAAAGTGTAGTTGCGAGGGGAAGATGGTGAGTTTGTTTTGGGTTGTTATTGCGACATCCAAGAGGACACGTCCTGTTGACAGATGGAGGTGTGAGAATAACTCAAATGGTGAACGGTGAATGGTTGAGTCCAGAGATTCATCATGGTGGAAGTAATTGGTGATCCCCTCAGAAAGGATCATTTCACTGGGGACAAAGAGTGTGGAGGAAACTAAGCAGAGGGCAAGAACTGAGCCTTAGGAAACACCGCTGAAGACGTATGAGTATTAGGATGTAGGGAAGGAGCAGTCAGATGTGGGAGAAAATGCAGGTACAGAAGGCAAGGGAGGAGAAACTGTGGGGAAGAGAAGGAGGAACTGGCAATGTTATCATAACAGGATCAGGAGGAATGTGGACCCTCAGTTTGGGAGTCACTGGCCTAATTAACGCAGTTCTCCTAGAAGAATGAGGTGAAAAGCAAATAACAGAATTAAAAGGGAAATGAGAGGTGAGGACATGGAGAAACCACATTATTTGAGAAATTTGGAAATGAGAAGAAAGAAGTAGGAAAATAATTAAAACTGTCAAATGAAGGCATGTGGTTCAGTATTGGAGAGACCAATTTCTGTTTGAAAGAATGGTCTCGAAGGAATGGGAGAGATTGAAAACACAAGTGAATAGGGGCAGCTAGCTAGGTGGCGCAGTGGATAGAGCACTGTCCCTGGATTCAGGAGGACCTGAGTTCAAATTCGTTCTCAGACACATAACACTTACTAGCTGTGTGACCCTGGGCAAGTCACTTAACCCCATTGCCTAGCCAAAAAAAAGAAAGAAAGAAAGAAAGAAAAAAGAAAATACAAGTGAGGAAGGGGATAAGCAAGAACAAGATTACTCAGGTTTCCAGAAGGGATGTGCATAGGGCAGAGGGATGGATAACCTAAAGAGTTATAGGAGAGTAACTCTGCTTCCTTTGAGATAGAGGCAGGATGAGAGTGAGAAGGATGGAGACAGAAAAGAGGACACAGTTGTACCAGATGACTTCAGTCTTCCCTTTCAAGTCAAAGGTGAGCCGTCAGCTCATAGCAGAGGCAGATCAGGATGGTTCCACATCAGTAATGAAGCTGGCCAGGAGGAAGATGTGGTGGACATCAGTCTTGAACCGTTCTTATTTTTTCAAATAACATTTTTCCCCCAATTTCATGTCAAAACAATTTTAAACATTTGAATAGTTCTTTTAAAGAAAGAATATTTCATTTTCCCCCAATTACATGTAAAAACAATTTTAATATTTGAACAGTTTTTCTTAAAAATATTTTTCTTTTTTCCCAATTACATATAAAAATAATTTTTAACATTTTTTTAAGTTTTGAGTTCCAAATTCTGTCCCTCTTTCTCACCCTTTCCCCGTCTGTGAGGTGGCAAGTAATCTGATATAGGTTATACCCATGCAATCATGTAAAATATTTCCATCTTGGTCATTTTGTGGAAGAAAACATGAACAAAAAAGAAAGACAGTGAAAAAGACTATGCTTCATTCTGTATTCAGACGCCATCAGTTCTTTCTCTGGAAGTGGGTAGGATTTTTCATCATGTGTCTTTTGGGATTGTCTTGGATCATTGTATTGCTGAGAATAGCTAAGTCACTCACAGTTGTTCATCATACAATGTTGCTGTTACTGTATACAATGTTCTCCTGGTTCTGCTCACTTCACTCTGCATCAGTTCATGTAAGTCTTCCCAGGTGGCTGAACAGTTTTGTAAGCAATGAGTAGTTCCCCTCCTGCTCACCTGCTCATATTGGCATTATGTTTTTCAGAGACAGAAATTTAGTTTCTGATCGTTCTTCCATTGGAAGCTTGTCTAGTGCAAATGCAGCAGGGAGAATCCAACAGCTTCGTTTGTCAGAAGATTTAAGCCCTCAAGAAATACAAGAAAATACCTTCTCTCTTCAGTCAGGTACAAACACATCAGTATAACGATTGCCACCATCACGGAGTTTACACTCTAATGGGAGAGACCACAGGGCCACGCATAAGTACATGCAGAATAAATACAAAGTGACATAAATATAAGGTAGTTTGGGAAGAAGGCCAGCAGGAGACGGGGGGGATGAGAAATGGCAGTGCTTGAGGCGTGTCTCATGGGCAGGGTAATTTCCAATCTGAAATGTAGCGTTGGGACAAAATGAGCTTTGTGAGGAGTTGTTTGGCTGTTGGCAATAAAATGTGAGTCAGCGATATAAACAGTGTTTGTTGAAGTTACGAGGCTGCTCCCCACCTATGCTTATTCACAGCCTCTTTGGTATTCTTCCTGACAGCCTGCTGTGCCGCTCTGACCGAACTGGTGCTCAATGACACAAATGCTCACCAAGTTGTACAGGTAGGGCGTCTTTTCTAACTCGTCGGAGATTCGAGGCTGATTTTTGCACATCTCCCAGATTTGAGGATGCATTGCTGATTTTTACACAGTAGTTTTCATATTCGTCACCCCACACATTCGGCAGCATTCATTGGCTTCCAATAGATTTTATTTAGGAAAACGAATACGCACCTGACAGACACTGAAGAAGAGAGCAAACACTGCTTTATCTGGCGAATCATTCTTACCTCGCTGCTGTTTGAATGGGTGTTATAAAATAGCTCCTTTCATTTTCCTTGTGCATTTTTTCAAGTTAGTTTAAATAGTTAGAATTATATACATGCAAGGGTTGTTTAGAAAGTAAGGCTATAAGGTTAATTATGGCTGTATTTTGCAGAGTGTAGTAATAGTTGTGGTAACAATATTTTGCTTGTGTGTTAAACACTGTAAAATAGACTGACCCTTACTGTGACTTAGTGTGACAGTTGTTAAAAGTGAATTCTGCCCTAGAATCACAGACCCCAGACAAAATTTGTGCTATTTGACTTTTTTAGATTGAAAAAATTACATTGCTGGAATTCACCATCAACCTATTGAAATTTGTTTAGAGAATATTTTTAATCAGCATAGTGTATGAAAATTCAAAACGTGCGATGACTTGGAAAAGAAAACAGATCACCAGTGGTACCATGCAACGTGAAAAGCCAAATTCTAACTGAGGAACTTACATTTCATTGACACTGAAAAACTTGTCCTGCACTGTGACAAATATTTAAATGTGTAGCAGTGTCATGTCCGGTCCCCCCCCCCCCCGCCCATGTTGATTGCCCAGAGAGCTATACAGGTATAAAACAATTTATGGGTGGATATCTACCCCAAACCATGGCTCCTGAGCCCCTACTGATATGTTTCTTTTTAACAGATGAATCGCAGGACACATTAGTTAAAAATAAAAGACACTTAAATAGTGTAGCCAAATAAGGGATAGCTAGGTGGCTCAGTGGACAGAGTGACAGGCCTGGAGTCAGGAAGGCTCGTCGTCCTGAGTTCAAGTCTGACCTCAGATACTTACTAGCTTTGTGACCCTGGGCACGTCACTTAACCCTGTTTGCCTCAGTTTCCTCATCTGTAAAATGAGCTAGAAAAAGATCTCGTCTAACCACTCTAGCATCTCTGCCAAGAAAACCCCAGATGGGGTCACAGAGAGTTGGACGTGATTGAAATAGGTGAACCATAGCCAAGTAAGTGACAAGACAGACTTCTTCCACAGACAGCAGTATGCTCTCCCAAAATTATCACCAGCCCAAGGTTCTACCCTGGCAGGAAATACATGCATCTATCCAGTACCCTGGGTCAGGAAAGCATATGGCCCCAGGACATTAGTGGGTGGGGCAGGCTCATATCTTTTATGTTTCAAGGAAACTAATTTCCTCTGGTGATGTAATTGTCCTGCTTTCCACTCTTGCTCTTTGCTGCCATCTGCTGGGATCCTGCTGTAATATCGCTTCTTAGGAGGGCTTTACTAACCCTAACCCTAACTCCTATCTTTGCTTTGTTTGAGAAGCCAGAATCCTGTCAAATCACCTTGGGATGCACTAAGCAAAGGTTCTGGTTAGTGCCATGGGGAAGGGATTCCTTTTAACCCTCCTGATGCCTCCTGATTGCCCTGCAAACTAACTCGGGAGCAACACTGAAAAGGGCCAGGTGGGATAGAGATCCCTCCAAGGAGCAGCCAAAATCACTATACTGCCTTCAGATTTGTTAAGTGACTAAGGATAAAGGTAGCAATGAGTTGTTTTATGTTTTAAAGACATGCACTAATTAGTTTCTTCATAATAAAATCAGTTTTTAAAAATACTTCAATTCATTTATTTTAATATAAAACATTATTATATATAATATATAAATGTAAAAGATATGTATAAATATATAGAAAATACATAAAATACATAATATATAAGTATACTTAGTGATATAGATTATATACATATCTAATATATATAAAACATGTAATATAATATATTGTATATAAAATGCATCATATAAGTAATATGAACATATTATATCTACGTATCTATAAAATATATGAAAAATTTTAATCCCATTCAATGGAGGCATAAAGATTTCCTTTTAAAAAAATACAACCTTTCCCCTTTTGCATCCCCCAAGTCTGCATACATATTAGGATCCAATTTTAAAAATTTTTACCAGGTATGTGATATTTATAATAATAAATTTTTTGAAGTAAGCAGAATCGCGTTAATATGTCTTTAGTGCTGTTTGATTATAATTCTTTAGCAATGTTGTTGATTTGTGTTTTGTAAAGGTGCTATATCTTTTGTTTCCAGCTATGTAGTTTCCCATGATCTTTATTTAAAGATGATTTACTAAGCTTTCTGATTTTTAAATTGGTGTTAATTTAACATGCAGAGATGGGGTGGAATCAGGTTAAAGGATGTTTGAATCATCATGGTCCTTCCTCCCATCCACTATCACCTAGTATAGGAGAAGTTAATCACCAAGTTCTCAGCAGAGAGTAGAATGTTTTGAAGACCACTTAGCAGTTTGGGGAGGTATATTCTGCATTGGTAGAAGGAATAACTTCACCTGGGAAATCATGAATCTTTGAATTATTGAATAAGTTAATTTATTAAGTTACTGCTATACGTGATTACATTTCTATCTCTTATCTCAGTATCGCCATCATCTGATAATGTTATTTGGCTTTTGTCTTGTAGGAAAATGGTGTATATATAATAGCAAAGTTAATTTTACCAAGCAAACAAAAGAATGCAGCAAAAACTCATTTATTGCAGGTAATGAATGAATGAATGAATGAATGAATGAATGAATGAATGAATGAATCGACCAAGAAAGTACTTATCATGTGCCTATTATTGGCCAGGTACTGTGCTAAGGATTCACACAAAAATGAAATAGACCCTGTTCTTAAAGAATTTGCAGTCTTTGGGGGAAAGCAGCATTAGAACAAGTAAACATTTGCTGAATGTACACAAGGTGGTTTAGGGAGGGAGGGTGCTAACAGTTGGGCATATCAGGAAAGGCTTCTCACAGCAGGTTGTGCTTTAAGGAGTCTCTGAGGCAGAGGTAAGGAGGAGGAGAAGGCACATTGCAGGCCTGGGGACTGGCCAGTACAAAGGTGCAGAGGCAAGAGATTGAGTATTGTATGAGAAGAGCAGCAGGAAGGCCAAGATGTCTAGAATTGAAAGTGTGGGAAGGGGAGCCATGTATGGGAGAGTCTGAAAAGGTAGGTCAGGACAAGCTTGTGAATGCTGACTTTAAAAGTCAAACAGAGGAACCAAGAGAGGTTCCCTAGAGGAAACAGGGAGCCACTGTGGTTTATTGAGTAGGGGAATGACATGGTCAGACCTATGCTCAGGGAAGATCACTTTGGCAGCTAGGTAGAGGGTGCGTTAGGGCAGCGAGGCCAATTAGGTTATTGCAGTCATCCAACCAAGAGGTAAGGAAGGCTTTAACCAAGATGGTGGCTCTGTGAAGAGTGGAAAAAGAATAGCTTTGAAAGATGTGGAGGGAGAAAGAGAAAAACTGGGCAGCTGACTGAATATGTGGGCTGAGGAAGACTGAGGAGTAGAGGGTAAACTTGAGTTTGAAAACGGAAACTGAAGGCTGGTGTTACCTTGTATTAAACAGGGCAGTTTGGAATAAGGAAAGATTTGGGGAAAATGAGATTTATTTTAATTGGGTTGAACTTGGGACATTTATAGGAAACACAGTTTGAAGTGTCCCGTAGGCAATTGACAATAGAGCACTGGGAGAGAGACTAGGGCTGGATTTATAGATCTTCTGGAAGTCATCTGCAGACAGACAATAATGAAACCTGTAGGAGCTAATGAGAGAATGTAGAGGGAGAAGAGAAAGGAGCCAAGGGGGTATTAATATGGGTGGTGAGCCAGCGAAGGAGACTGAGAAAGATCCATTAGATAACCAATCTGCGAGCATTCGTTAAGTGCCTGTTGTTTGTTGGGCAGGGTGCTAGGTACTGGGCATACAAGTACAATGAAATGGAATAATCCCTACTCACACATTCTAATGGGGGAGACAACAAGTACATATATATATATATATGTAAGTATATTCAGAATAAATACAAAGGGAATAAAATGCAAATCTCTGCAAAGTATTAAACACAAGGTAGTCTGAGAGGGAGGGCACCAGCAGTCCAGAGTCACATAGGAGAAGAACCAAGATGAAAACCCAGAGATTATTTTTTAAAAAAGATTTCCTGCTGAAATGTGGGCCACCTTAAAATATACGTATAAGCCTGTTGCTCCCAGTCTTAAGTATGTTCTTTTTCTTTGTTGTTGTTCGGTCGTTAAGTTGTGTTCAACTCTTCACGACCCTATGCACTGTAGCACGTCAGGCCCTTCTGTCCTCCACCATCTCTTGAAGTCTCTCCAAGTTCATGTTCATTGTTTCCATGAGTCTGTCTATCCATATCATCCCCTGCTGTCCCCTTTTTCTTTTGCCTTCAGTCTTCCCCAGCATCAGAGTCTTTTCCAGTGAGTTCCATCTTCTCATTATGTGGCCAGAGTATTTAAGCTTCAGCTTCAGTATTTGACTTTCCAGGAAATAGTCTGAATTAATTTCTTTAAGTACCAACTGATTTGATGTCCTTGCTGTCCAAGGGACTCTCGAAAGTCTCCAGCACCACAATTTGAAAGTGTCGATTTTACGGCATTCAGCTTTCCTTATAGTCCAACTCTCACAGCCATACATTGCTACTGGGAAAAAAAAAAAAAAACAGAAAAACCGTATTCTTTCTTAGGCAAGTGTTATTATATACAGGTTAGCCAGAGAATAAGCATTATGGACTTGCCTCGTTGGAAGGGATCTCAAGCCAACTTCTAACCTGAAGGCATAGAATTAATGAGATTGTTGCTTTGTAGAAAAAAGAAAAAAAAAAAACTCCTTTGACATCCTCCTAGGATAAGGCAGTATGCCTTTCAACACTGACATAAATCCATGAGTGAAAGTTATAGAAAGGCAGATTTCAGTTTGATCAATCAGCATTAATTAAGTGTCTGTTGTATGAGGATCATTGTGCCCTGTAGGCACTGGAGATATGAAGAGAAAGGACAAATTGCCTATTAATGAAGGTAATCTACAATTAGTAGGGGCTGCTTTGGGAGGTGGTAGGTTTTCCCTCCTGGGGGGGTCTTTAAACAAAGACTCTGTTACTATTTGTCAGGTATGTTGTATGAAGGATACTGTCCACATGGCCATCAGGATCCCTTCTGCCTTTGAAATTCTGTGATTCTGAGACTGAAGCAGATGGACAGACTTCCCTCGGACCTCACCTCACTCTGTTTTGTAGCATGCTATTTTTGTACTCGTCCTTCCTTTGCTAATTAGGGAGCTTTTTGGAGTAGAGCCTGACTTGTCTTTCTGGCTCCACCATAGGAGTTTAATAAATGCTTGTTGAATTTTAATTTTACAGATCTTATGTTGACAGAATTCATGTACTTGTGACAATGTACAGTGGTCATGTACATGACCAATTCAGCACATTGGTCAACTTCTCAAGGATCTTGAGTGTGTCTTTGGGGGTGTGTCATTTCTTACAGTGGTTACTGGGGACTTTGAGGCCAACATGGCGGCATCTGTTTTTGTATTTCATCTTTTCTGATGTTTCCTTTTTCATATAAACTATCATTATTGTGGGGCCATCTAGAAACACAACATCCATCCTCGTGATCCTCAAATGTGTTTTCTCATAGACATTTTACTCTTTGGTATGGTTGTGCTCCAGCTGGCCCTTCTCATGAAGGATGGGGTAGTGGGGAGCAGGGCTAAGTGCTGGGGATACAAAAAGAGACAAAAGACAGTGCCTGCCCTCAAGGAGCTTTCAGTCTTTTGGGGGAGATGGCATGAAAAGCAAGCTACCCTCAGGATAGATAGAAGATAAGTAATAGAGGGAAGGCACTGGAATTAAGAGGCCTTGGGGAAGGCCAGCCTTATATTGGAGGAACTACAGAAATCAGAAGATTAAAATCAAGTGAAGGAACCTTAGTGTGTAGTAACATAAACCTTGTAAATGACCAGAGTAGAGCAGTAGGTTGGGGGTAGGACAGCTCCTAAGTATGCAGTGCATATATAAAGTATGTGAGGCAGCCAGGTGACTGTGGGAGAAGGGCTGGAATTAGTTTGGAAGACTCGAGTTCTAATTCTGCCTCAGACATAGATTAGCTGTGTGACCCTGGGAAAGTCACCTGACAAATAACAGCACCTTTCTTAAAAGGTTGTTCTAAGGTTGAAAGGAGATATTTGTAAAGCGCTTAGCAAGCCTTAAAGTATTATACAAATGCTACTGTTGTTATCTTTAATATAGAATGCCATGTATAGGAAGCCACTTGTAGGCCATTTTGATAGAAGCAGAGAATGTATTAAAGGGAGAAATATGAGATAAGACTGGAAAGGTGGGTGGGAGTCAAAAAGCGAATGGCTTTATAAGCAAAGGTGAGGGTTTTGTATTTTAGCCTAGAAGCAATAGGCAGCTATTAATGATCTTGGGGCAAAGGAGGTGGCATGCTCAGATCTATGACAAAGGAATATTAATTTGGCATCTGGGTGGAGTCTGTTGAAGAAATCCAGGTGTTTGGTGATGCAGGCCTGGACTAGGGTAAAAGCTGAGTCAGTGTCAAAAGGGGGAAGTCTACTGATAATATTGTGGAGGTGTGATTGACAGCATTTGGCAGCTGATTGAATGTGGGGTCATGGGGGAGATGGACACAAGAATGACTCGAAAGTTGCATACCTGTGTGCCTGGAAGGATGATCATGCCCTCAACGGAAATAGGGACATTTGGAAGAGAGACAGAGATCTTTTGGGAAATATAATGAGTTCAATTTTGGATGTGTCGAGATAGGGAAATTCTTGGATCATCCTTGGAAATGCCCAGCAGGTTGTTGGTATTGCAGAGCTGGAGTTGAGGTAGGAGTGATTAGGGTAGCACATCAAGATTTGGGGGTCATCTGCATAAAGGAGCCCATTGGAGTTCACCTGAGTGTGTAGAGAGAGAAGGTAAGCTTGTACTTTGTCTGGGATAGAGCCCTAGGGGATACCCACTGTTAGTGGAAGGGGAGAAGAGGATCATCTTACCAAGAAGGCTGAGAAGGAACAGTGTTGAAGATGGTGTATCCTGGAGGAGGGCATGGTGGTGGTGTCCAAAGCCACAGAGAGTCCAGTAGAAGGAGGGCTGAGAAAGGCTGTTGGATTGACAGCAGTGATTTAAAGGTTTTGTATATCATCTGATAGAATTTAAAAGCTTACTACTTATTTTATTTTACAGTGTTATGCTTTTAGAGCCTTGCGGTTTCTCTTCAGTATGGAAAGGAATAGACCTCTCTTTAAAAGGTACATGTTTATAGAGCTTTAAATGCCAGTGAAGTTATTTTTGCTAAAGCTAGCATTCAATTTTAATTTGTTTTATGGGGCCTGTTTTCAGATAGAATGTTTAGTTTCATGCCAGAGGAAAAATGAATCACAAAGATAGAAATCGGTCATCACATTGCTAGGAAAATTACCTTTTGCAAATAACTAATTATGGAGAAGTATAAATAACTGTCAATTATGAAATCATAGAGACAAGTCACCATATGGCTATAAATTTTCTTAGGTGCCCATGACTCGAAGGACTTTTAATGTCCCTTTATTTTAAGTAAAAATTTAAATGCATATAAAAACAATTACATTTATAAAATAGTCTTGAGTTTTACATGTTCTGTTCATTCAAAAATGCCAAAGCTGATCTAATTGACTTTCCTGAATAAATAGGGGTAAATATTTGGGATTCAATACTCTCTAGAAGGTCATTCTCTAGAGATGTGGTTTGATGGTTATGTGTGATCATAAGAGTTGGTAGGTTTTGCTCAGAATGACTGTTTTGGAGAGAACCTCCCCAGACAGAAGTGTAGTGTCACGGAGAGTGTTGTGCACTGAATTCCAGTTCTGACTGCCATTTCCTAGATGTGTGCGCTTGGTCAAGCTGCTTTCCCTCCGTAGGCCTCAGTCAACTCAGTTGTAAAATGTCTCATTGGGCTGATTGAACCCCAAAGTTCTCCTAGCTCTAACCTTCTGCGATAGATGCACATCAGCATAGGTGCCAATTAATTATGGGAATTGGGGGAGAATCAACATTCTCCTCTCTAAAGTATAATAAAGTGTAATTAGCAAGCTAAGAATAAGACTTTGAACCCATGTAGCATCTTTTGAGAAGCTACGTTCATTCTGTTTCCACGATGTGCTTAAATTGAAGGGGCAGGTGAAGGGAGGAGAAAGGAAGAAAATGAAATGGACGCTATTCTGCTTCTTGTCAAGAAGGCCTCAGATTACCCTGCCACCTTTTAGGGTACTTGCCTTATGGAAAGTGCCTCTTATCAGCCATCCCATTTCCTTGTTTTTTTTCTATTGAAATGATGTCAACCTTTTCAGAATTGGCAATGATTCCAGGAAAATAAATGGGAACAGACATTATTTCGCCTACTTTATAGACAGACAAAGCATGCTGAGATTAGGCTATGTGCCCAAATTCACATACTAAGACAGTATATGAGGGAAAATATCCCTGAATTGATTAGGTCTACATAAAGCATGTATGTATTTTTTTTTACATAGACTTTTCCCCACTGACTTGTTTGAGATCTTCATTGATATAGGACATTATGTACGCGATATCAGCGCTTATGAAGAGCTGGTATCAAAGTTGAATTCACTGATGGTAAGTGCAGAGCTTTATCGATACTGTGGTGAGTTTGCAACATGGCCCGTAGGAGAATTGCCGTAGTCACCACTCATTTCCTGTTCGTTTTCTGATCAGGAGGATGACCTGAAACAGATTGCTGAAAACATTGAAAGCATAAATCAGAATAAAGCACCAACGAAATATATAGGCAACTATGCCATTTTAGACCACCTTGGGAGCGGTGCTTTTGGATGTGTTTATAAGGTGAGTTTGCCTTTCATCAAACAACAGGTTTGATATTTGGGGAGTGAGTTGGATATGTGTGGCATCAGTTTCCACACCAGTAGCACCCCAAGGGCCTGGAGGCAAAGAGCAATTGTACAGATAGAAGTAAAAAATGGCCCCTCTCTTTTCCTCCAACCATGATCTCAGTTGCTGTTATTTCAACTGATGGTTTTAGAAACTGGCCAGGAGTGTTTTGAGAAGGACAGTCTTTATTTTTGTTTTTATTATTTTTATATCAATTCTCACAAACAGCAGGCAGAGTGGTTCTTGCATTAAAGTGTGACCACAAGTCTATAATTTCACAGCCATCTGCCTGTCATTCCTCAGTCAGACTCTGCTGGACATCACACAGTATAGAATGGATCATGAACATTTTTAGCTGATCCCACTGAAGATGGGTTTGGAATAAGAATTTTAAATGCTCTGAGAATGACCGAGATGCCTTGATTAATCCCAAGACCTTGTTTATGAACTTTCTTCACTCTCCCTTATCCCTTGTCATTCTTTCACTTTGCCTTGTGTTTTTTTTTTTCCATAGGTTAGGAAGCGCAGTGGTCAAAATCTTTTAGCAATGAAAGAAGTAAACCTACATAACCCTGCATTTGGAAAGGACAAGAAAGATCGAGAGAGCAGTGTGAAGAACATTGTCTCGGAGCTAACGATAATTAAGGAGCAGGTGAATGCCCTTATTTTTTGGAAATTTATTGATTGAATAATGGGTATAATTATTAATTAAATAATCAATTACTGATTATTTAAAATTATTATCGATTAAATGATGAACATAATCAATACAGTAGCTCAGACTTCTAGGCCTTACTATTTGTATTTGTCACAGGACTGGCCAATGAAGGCCTACGCCGTGTGACATGTGTGGCTGGCCCGGCCAGGGGCAGTGGGGAGCCTACTTCCTGAGATGTGGGATGCTGAGTAAGGGAGAGGTATCCCTCCCTGGTTCAGCATTGTCATGTGCTCCGGGAGTAGGGAAGGAAAGCCCAGGTAAGGGAGGAGCCTGAGTCCCTCTCTCAGCGAGGCTGATGGAGCCAGGAACACATGGTGCTGGTGTTTCTCTTTCTGACTCGCGTGGCCAACCCCCTCACGGGTTGTCGGATGAGTCCCCAGAGCATGGCTGTCTGCATCCCCCTCTCAGAGTTGTACTCCAAGCTCACAGTAGGGAGGCTCTTCCAATGCTCTTGGGGGGTGGGCAGCAGTCAGAGAAGACATATGGCCAAAGCTTCTGGGACTGGGACCTTGCCATTGTAGAAACACAAAACTTGGTTCCCATTTGCAAAGTGATTCACATACATTATCTCATTTGAGTCTTATAACTCTTCGGGGTAGGTATTAGATGGTGGTGCTAGTTTTTAAAGTCTGGGCCAGTGATTTCGTCAGTGTAGAGAACTTCTGGATTGGAAACTCCCTTCATCAGTGCAGGTTGCAACTCATTTGTGATTCATACTCTTAGAGAGTTGTTTGGGCTACTGAGGAGTTAGGTGACTTGTCCTCTGTCCCACCACTAGTTGGTGACAGAAGCAGGGCCTGAATCCAGGTCTTCCTGATTCCAAGACTGAACTTCTGTTCACTTACACCGTACTGCTACTCTGCAGTTCGTATTACCCCCATTTTTCAGATGAGGAAGCTGAGTTCCAGAGAGGTTAAGTGACTTATCACAGCTATTAAGTGTTAGAGAATGGATGGGAACTCAGGACTTCTTCACTTCTTATCCAATGAGTTAACATACGTAAAGTGCCTTGCAAACTTTACAATGCTAAGGAAATTCTGGCAATTATGATGATGATGATGATGATGATGATTACACATTATTAACTCTGGTTAAATGCATAAAGATGGTTTTGCTTATGACTTAGAATTTCCTGGCTTTTTTCAAGTGGAACCAAGCAATTAACATTTACGCTGCCAAGATCGTATAAATCTAGGTTATTAAATATAATAAGCATGGTTGTTCAGTATGTGACCAAGTATATGGGGATGCAACCCTGGCACTCAGTTCAGCTCACATTGTTCAGTATTTGTTAATGGTGGCAGTTAACCAACATCGTGGAGGTGGAATTAGGAACACACAAGCATTTCAGGAGAAATGGGATTTCCCTGCATCATCCAGGGCACCGAGTTCTGTTTTTCAGTCAGCCTGATTTTTGTATTTGTAGAGAGTATAGCTCTTTGAGATGATTTCTCTTGGGTACAGTCATTATCATGGCTCCTTATTACTCAGGTATACATAGCACCTGCCAGTCAATCAGCTAGCATTTATCAAGGGCCTACTGAGTGCCAGGGCAGCTAGGTGGCGCCATAGTGCATAGAGCACTGGCCTGGAGTCAACAACTCTCATCTTTGTGAGTTCAAATCTGACCTTAGACACTTACTACCTCCGTGACCGTGGGAAAGTTGCTTAACCCTGTGTGCCTCAGTTTCTTTATCTGTGAAATGAACTGGAGAAGGAAATGGCAAACCACTCCAGTGGCTCTGCCAGGAAAATCTCAGTGAGGTCGCAAAAAATCAAACTCTGTGCCAGGTGCTGTGTTAAGCTCTGTACATTGAAACAAAAAATGATGTCCACAGACTATGGATTATTAATTAAAGTAGTTGGATTTCAAATTTGTAAATGAGCAAGATCACACACCTGAAGTTGCCATATTTAGCTCACCATGCTGTGTAATGATACTATTCAAGGATGACTTGTTTATTAATAGAAAAAACACTCTGCGTACCATGATGATCACATCCAGCATTAGCGTGAAACCTCTTTGTAAATGTGTAAGACTCTCAGAACGTAATCCTGGCAGCTGGCTCCCCTGTGTCGTGCCCCAGGCCGCCTAAACATTTTTGACCACTTGCTAATTGGCGAGACGTAATGTTTTTAGAGACTTGGGGAAAAGAGGGGAAAAGAGGGTCCTTGGAGGACCTGATCAGTAGCATCCATGCCTTGTGAGTCACGTGGGGCTGTCATTACATTACCTGCTAACTCAATAATTAGTCAGTGGGTGGTGAAGAACTAGGTCATTAAGGAAAGGGAAATGGAGGTCAGGTGAAAGCAGAGAGAATGTGTGTGTCTGTGTGTGTGTGTGTGTGTGTGTGAGAGAGAGAGAGAGAGAGAGAGAGAGAGAGAGCAAGAGAGAGACAAAGCAAGAGAGAGAGAGAGAGCGCGAGACAGAGAGCTAGAGAAAGAGAGCTAGAGAGAGAGAGAGAGCGCGAGAGAGCGAGAGAGAGCGCAAGACAGAGAGCTAGAGAGAGAGAGAGAGGAGGAGGAGGAGGAGGAGGAGGAGGAGGAGGGGAGGGGGCATGAAAATGAAAGTCCCTTAGAGCAGGGCAGAAGTAAGGAACTAGAGTAAAGGTCAGTGAAGGGACCATACTAGGAGTCTGAATATGAGGCTCATGTTGCTTTATGAAGGAATAATCAAGAAAAATTTAAGTGGGTGACAAGTTGGGATGACCTTGGGCCTTTGTTACCACCATAGAATTCATTGTTATCAAATTACCTTTTGGTTGTTGTTCACTTGTTTCAGTCCTGTCCGACTCTCTGTGACCCCATTTGGGATTTTCCTGGCAAAGATCCTGGAGTGGCTTGCCTTTTCCTTCTCCAGTTCATTTTACAGATGAGGAAACTGAGGCCAGCAGGTTAAATGACTTGCCCAGGGTCTCAGGGCTAGTAAGTGTCTGAGGCCAGATTTGACCTCAGGAAGATGAGTCTTCCTGACTCCAGGCCTGGAGCCCTATCCACTGCACCATCTAGCTGTCCATAGATTACCTAGCTTCCAAATAACTTCCCAAACAACTTAAGTTAATTTTTTTTTTTTTTTACAGCTTAAATTGGGTGGAATCTCAGAGAATTTTAGTTTTGTAATTACCTTTTTTTTGAGAGATCAGGAAACTTGGATAGATAAAATAGGGGAAAGACAATTTGGGAATTTAAAAATTTCCAAATTCAAATTTTAAAATAAAACCTCTATGAATCTCAGTTTCTTCATCTGTAAGATGAGGGGGTTAGCTTCTCTCTAAATTGTATGTTCTATAATTCTGTATGATTAGGTGATTATCAGTACAGCATAGTTAATTAGACTTCTTTTGAAGGCTATATTTTAGGAGATCTTTGTACTGAGATAATATTTTATTGACTGTAGCATAAATAAAAAGGATCATGATAATTTCAGTGAGACTTTACAACTTGTAGAATATTTTAAATTTCTTATTTTCCTGTTTGAAGCCTAGCTAAAATTTTCCACAAGATATTTTCAGATAGGATTTTTCTAACCCATCCTCTCACATTTTTCATTTTTTCTTATAGCTTTATCACCCCAATGTTGTACGCTACTATAAAACTTTCCTAGAAAGTAAGTATATTACCACAGTATTTGTTATTAATGAAAATATTAATAACTTATAAACAATAAAATCATGGGGTATTGGTTTGTAATAGGGAGTCAGGAATAATAGAGTATTTTAATTAACAATGATACTACATTATTTAATATTAGTAATATTTATGTTTATTGTTTTATATTACACAATTTCAATCACTGAGTATTTACTGTGCCTATTATGTTCATTGCATAACATCGTGCCAGGTGCTGGGTGCTATATGGATTATTGTCTGTATTGAATGCTGTTGTCTCTTCATCCTTTTGTGTGTAGATGACAGGTTGTACATAGTTATGGAACTCATAGAAGGAGCACCTCTTGGAGAACATTTCAGTTCTTTGAAAGAGAAACAGCACCATTTTACTGAAGAGAGGATATGGAATATATTTATACAAGTAAGGATTCATGTTGAATATATTTGTTTATAAAAGACACAAAATGGCATAATTCTTTTGAATTCCTTTCTTGGAGACATGCAAGTTTGCCAACCATTGAGGTAGCTTTATCTCTATCTCTTTCTCTATCATCTCTCTGTCTTTGTCAGTCTCTGTCGTCTTTGTCTTTATCTCTGTTTCCATCATCTTTGTGTTTGTCTATGTCATCTCTGTCTGTTTCTTTCACTGTCATCTTTGTCTCTATCATCTGTCATTATCGTTATCTCTATCATCTCTGTCTTTGTCTCTATCTCTATCATCTTTGTCATTTCTCTATCATCTTTGTCTTTGTCTGTCTCTATCATCTTTGTCTCTATCTCTATCATCTTTGTCTTTGTCTCTATCTCTGTCAATCTCTGTCTTTGTCTTTCACTATCATCTTTGTCTCTATCATCTGTCATTATCGCAATCTCTATCATCTTTGTCTTTGTCTCCATCTCTGTCATCTCTGTCTTTGTCTATCATCTTTGTCATTTCTCTATCATTTTTGTCTTTGTCTATCATCTTTGTCATTTCTCTATCATCTTTGTCTATCTCTATCTTTGTCTCTATCTCTGTCATCTCTGTCTTTGTCTCTATCTCTGTCATCTCTGTCTCTGTCTCTGTCTCTCATCTCTGTCTCATCTCTTTCTTTGTGGTTATAGCTATGTCTTTATCTATGTCTATGCCTTTGTCTCTGTTCTTATTTACATCCACCTATATTTATATCTATGTCTGACCTTGTCCAAGGATCTTTGCCCCTGCCTCTGCATTTCCATCTCCACCTCCATCCATGTCTACATTTGTCTTTCTATCTATGTTTCTGTCTAGAAAAATAAACTCATTTCTGTTTCTTGTTTCAAGCTGTGCCTGGCTCTTCGTTACTTGCATAAAGAGAAAAGGATTGTCCACCGAGACCTCACGCCGAACAATATCATGTTGGGGGATAAGGACAAAGTAACCGTCAGTAAGTACAAATTCTGAGATTCCTTGGAGGACAGTTTCTTGATATCTAAAGATAACCAGTCTAGAAGGTGTGTTGTGAAGTCGGTGAACCATGTCAAATTTATCTGAGAAAAAATGCATGGCGTTTGAACCCCATGAAATGTAGTTGGATTATTGTGACGGTCAGCGCAGCATTGCTGTTGCTGGGGTTGCATGGCCTTTGGTGCTTTGTGACTTAATTCACATTTTTTGGAGTGAACCTTAGGGCTTATTTAGTTACTTACATTTCAAAATTATGAGGTACCTCATAGGCATCCAACTTGAACCTCACAAAAGTCTTTTGAGGTAGGTAGGACAGCACAATTTTATCCACATTTTACAAAAAAGAAGTTGAGGCTCCGACAAGAGAACCACTTTGCCCAAGACCTCCTAGCTAGGAGTGGCAGAGATGGGGCTCAGACCTTGGTTTTATGACCGTGGCACCTAGGCTATAAGATTCACCCTTGGAATTATGAATTGTAATCATAAGACATCCGTTCATTTCATCATTAGAAATGGACTGATTTTTCTTACAGTCAGGCTTTTTAGACTTTCAAGACACAGCCTAAAATAAAAACTTGTTTTTTTGCCTTGGACTAACAATATTTTCTGGATGTGTTCTATTTCTTATCCTTTGTCTAGATTCTAAACAAAGAGATTCCAAACTCCAGCATGACAGACTAGAAAATCAGAAGGTATTCCTGGGATTACTTAGAGTCTCTTAGCAAACACATTTGTTTACGTGCCATGCTATCGAGATTTTAGCCGAGATACATTTGTCACTATCATCTTTCGTGGCTGTTGTAGTGGTGGGGGCCATTTTATTATTTTAATTTTTAACAGGAATTGTAGTTTCCTTGATATTATTGATTGCAGATTTGCTGTATAAAATTCACTAGTCTTTAAAAATACAGGTAATTTTTTTAAAGTTGGTGAATTTCAGGCTCCTTAGTCCCCAAATAGAAATAAAACTCTTCTCAAAAAAAAAAAAAAAAAAAAAAGTCATGGGCTTATTAAAGAATGCTACCACGAGAGGGCACTCATGTCATGCTTTTCCAGTTTCACCGTGCACTAGAATGTTTATTTTCTGAGTGATTGCTAGGGAGAAAAATGCAGAATAATGTTAAAAGGAATGAGAAAAAATGTGCATGAAATGGGGGACAAAAACCCAAGAGCCTTAGAAAAACTGAAAAGGGCTGAACTGCCCTTAAAGGTGCTTCCTTCTGGTCCAAGTACAGAAGCAGCTCCCCACAGACATTGGTTCAAGCATATTTTAGGAATATGTAGCTTTGAGAGTTACAAACACATTCATGTGAGGCTTTTTAAAAAAGTTTCTCTTTTAATGGCCCTTACTATATGATATATATTTAGCGTCTGACCCAGGTACTTGCGTGTAGCCTTCAAAGAGACGCGAGGCAACAGATTCTGGCTCCCAGACCCTGCCATCTGCCAAGTCAAAATCACACTTATGAAATAACATTATAGAATTCCTCAGAAGGGGGAAATCTGGTCCAGGTCAGCTTTCCTTCCTTCTATACTCTCCATTTGTCATCTCTTTGCGCTTTTTTTTTTTTTGCAACCTAAATTCCTAATCGTTAAACCAAAAAATAATCCCCTCCCCCCAAAAAAATACCTAACTTATGTTATCCTAGAGAATGAACTTTAGCTGTAGATGTTAGCGAGCTGATACAGTGAAAAGAATATGTTGAACTTTGAGCCACAGGAGCTGCATTTGTGCGATCTTTGTTGCTCTGTGCCTCAGTTTCCTCATTTGTACACTGAACAACTTGTACAGAGGGGGCACCGTGTACCATATGAATAGTTTGTGGAATCCTGGAGGTATAACATTTTGTAGGTCAAAGTTTGTGAGCTACCCACAACAGAGAGGTTCATAGATCTTCAGATAAAAGTGTGCACATTTCCCCCAAGTTCAAAGATAAGACGCTTCCCCTTATGTCCACTAAGTTCCGTGGGTTTGTATTTTAAACTATCAAGTGTGGTGAGTGCATGCTGGTCACAGGGTCACAGATCTAGAAAGGGAAGGGGTCTCATGGGTCATTTAGTCCAATCTCGTCATTTGCCATGTTACTCAGAGAGACTACAGGAAAAGAGTTCACACAAGTCCACTGATTTCCTGCTGGTGCCACTGGGGCTGTGCTCAGCTGGGGAGAAAGGGTACGGGGCCTTGGATCAGATACAACAGCATTTTGCCATCCAATCACCTGGTAGAAAACCAAAAGATTATTAGTCTAATTATCTTTAAATTCCCAGTCAGTCGGCCCAAGGCTCATCCTTTGATAGTAATTAACTCAAAAGAAGATGAGAAAAAGATGAAAGGAAATGTTTGTATATAGTTAGATCCTAACTCTGGCCAGGAGATTTCTCATCAGTATATGCCACTGGCCAAAGAGGGAAAGAAGTGAGAATTAGGTGATTAATCAGTCACCATTGGTGATGTATCTGCACAAATGCATCCATGCCATTCTAGGAAAAATGAGTGAAGAAGTCATGTTCTACTAATAAAAGTGAGTGGGTCAGGAATGTCATTTTGCTGTAGTAAGGATGGCATGTTATATTGTAATCGTGTATGGGGAGATACTTTGCTCATGTAACCTTGAAATGTGGAGAGTAGAAGAATGTTACAAATTTCAAGCTGGTTTCAATATGTATTCCTTGAAACAGTGTGCGCGACATGTAGGTGGGAGTATATTTTTGTTGACTGTGTCTAGCGCTCTAGGCAGGGTTCAGTAAGTTTGTGTGATCTTTCTAAACCTGCTGAAGTCCCTGGGTCCCTAGTGAACTACTACCTCAGGCTTCCTCCAGAACCTGGCAAGTCACAAATACAGCAAGATAGTCTACTTGTGCCATTGAAGATGGCGTGTTTCAGAGTTGGCCGCCTTCAGGAAGATCCGTGTCGTGAGAGGCAGCGTTTTCACGTACGGCCTCCTCCTATTGTAGCTGTCGCTCTTGTTCCTGGATTCCCCAAGCCTGATGGATTTCTCCAAGCATACACATTGTGGGGCTTCTCTTTCTTAGGTATGAGCTGGTGTTGGATGGGAAAAGAGCCAATGTTCCTGTTGATAATCCTACTGGAGCCTGGGCTGGACCTCAGAGCGCAGACTATAGTTCTTGGCAGGGTTGGTACCCGAAGCCTCCCTAGCTCATTGAGAAGTCCCCAGAGCTTGGGCTTCTCTGGTAATGCCTTCCAAGGCCCAAGGCCATCTCTGTGTCGCAAAGAGGTGCTGCAGAAGGATTCTAGCAGCACCTCTGCAAGAATTCTTATCACTACAGGACATTAAATTGCAGTAAAAAAACAGCTCATTTTTGCCATTCATTTCAGTCCTCTTCCCTGTCCAGCTCTTTACCAGAGCTCATAACAAGTAGTAAAATGGATTTGTTCGAAATTTCTTTCCTCTCTTTGCTGCTGTTTTGCTCAGTTTTTTTTTGAGATAATTAATTGGGCCAGGCCTGCCATGAATAGGGTGCTAAGAGGCCCCACCTGCTAAAGCTGAAGTCACGTTGGAAAGTGCTCAAGCATGGGTGATTTCCAGGAGGTGCCCGCAGTGAGTGCTGGCCAGGGGGCCCCTGTGCCTGGGCAGAATGGAGAGTCCTGTGCCAACTCTGCCTTGTGGATGACCTGCCTTCTTACTTCCTACTGAGCAGGGCAGAAGTGAATTGCATTCCCCCCATTTGTTGGTGCAGAGCAGAAGTGGAGAGCAGATCTCCCAAGATAAAAGCTGGTGGGGGATCGTGGTGAGGAGCATAGATCCAATCTGTCAAACCCATCTCCTTAAAAAATTTTACCCCCTCTCTTGCCATCCCCCATTAGAGAACTGGCAGTAGACAGAATCCCACCTTATGGGTCCAAGTATTAAGAATTTCCCATTTTATCCAAGCAGAAAGGGACAGAGGGCAGTCCCCTTCTGGAATCTCCAGTTGATTCAGCTGACTGCAAGAACAAATCCTTCCTAATCGCCTCTAGCCATGGAATGCTGCAACTGACCAGTACTCTAAACTGCCTCCATGTGTTCTACCTCACCCTCAATAGCCATTGTTCTCATGATTCCTTGGCTTGGTCTTTAAATTTCTCCTGTAACAGCCAGGTTCCTGGATGAGGTCCACTTAGCCTTTTACACAGAAAGTTGCTTCCTGGAAAGTAGTGTCACAAGGCTACTAATAGGATAAACCCAGGGCTCTCTGAGCTGCCCCTGTGCCAGGTCCCAACGTCCCCTACTTCTGTTTTCCTCTTTTACCTCTCCAATCTTAGTAGAGTTGAAGATGTTCTCCAGAGAAACCTCTGAATCGGGGGTATGCTTTCTACCTGTAACCTATTATACCTCACCTCTTTTACACTTGTGGGCAAAGTGAAGCCATTAATTTTTCTTCTGCCTTCAAAACTTGGTCTTTGAGAGATCAAAAATCTCATTTTTCCTCTCTCTAATTGCCTAATACAACAGGACAGTTTCATTTTACTCTCCTTGTGTAAGGAATCCAACCTCTCCAAAGCTATTAAGAAGGGCCATGGAAAACCAATTCCAATATGTCTTCATAAGAACACAACTTCAAAAGAAGTGATAGACCATTCTTCTCGCCTTCTGCAGCTGCCATAGTATCACGTTTACCAGGTTAGCAGCTCTGGAAGGCATTTCCCTCAGGTAGCAGCTTCAGGAACTGCTTACCTGTGTTCTCTGACACAGTCTCTTCCCTGACCCCGAGCCAGGCTAGGCCTTTTATACTGCAGATGTCGAAAAGGCCAGATGAGCTTCCTGCCCCCTTGAAAGGCTGGCCCAGTTCATCTGATGCTGGAGTGATCGCTTAGTGTGTAGGGTGCTGGTCTGGGTTATTCTTGGAAGAATGAGAAGACAGAGACAAAGGGTAGGGGTGACAGGGAAGAGAGGAGAAGAGCCTCTGGCCGTGGAAGCCCACCCCAAACAGATGGTGCTCCTGTTAGACCAGGCTCACCTGGTTGGGAAGTACCACCCT